CTCATGACGTCACAATAGCGTTACTCAAATCCCACCATTCCATAAACTATGCGGTGATTAAGGCTGAGAGGAATGTAATGGTCGAGTCGTTCATATCTGACATTCGTGAGCACGGTGTCCAGATATAATGGACGTTTTTCGGCTCTCAATCAGTGTTGTGCAAGATACGATGACGTAATGAAACCATGACATATTGGGGATCACGTTTACCAAAAAAAAAAAATGGCGCTGCTTAAAGCAGTCTGTCTTAGTTAGAAGTATACCAATAGTTACAAGCGGACTTATTTTATATCTGATGAAGTATACACTGCCTTATATATATATATATATATATATATATATATATATATATATATATATATACCTATATGTGTTGCACACGCTGCGCCATTGGTGTATTGTACTCGCATTCTTCTTTCACGTCGCACTACGGAAGACGGCAACTTACGGATCCCAAAAAATGGCAAGGAAGCTAAGTGCAAAGTGGAGGTATACGTTTTCTTGAAATCAGCTGTGCCTTGTCGCAGCTGAATCCAAGCTCCACATCACATCCATCATCAAATGAAGTGTATTTGGTAAGCGGCGAGAGGAAAACTGGGGTTCAAATCGCGCAAACCACCGGCTGTTCGTTTGAATGCGAACGGGCCGACTGGAAATGGCGCGGTGGTATCACTGCGAATGTCGTGGCCGCTCATGACCCTGGACGTTGTGAGCCCTATGACATTTATGTTCTAATGCAGAGGTGAGTATGGAACACCCGCGTTAAGCGCTGATTATATGCACAACGGCATTCGAAACAATTATGTTTTTAAGCGAACATCAGTCGACTGTTCAGCATAACTTTCAAGTATACTATCCTGACCAGGACCACGCGATGTATTAATTTGGGCGTCGAGGGTCACGCGGTGCCCGCTGCCATTCCGACCCCTCGTCCTCGTCAGCTGTCGTTGACGGTGAGGTTGCAGCTGCGCGGCTGTTGCACGTCCGCTGGTGACTCAGCGGCGGGGAGGCCTGGCACGGGAGGGTAGCCGCGGAGCCGGGGGGGCCGGGCCCGGCACCGCGGCCACCCGAGCGCTGAAGCGCACCGTTCTTTTGTGGTCCAACCGAGGCAGATGAATGCAGTGGTGAGTTTTTATCCGAGCCGCAGACGTCTGCTTGGTGCAAGCCGTGAAGCGAAGTCAGCACCTGAAGGAGATTGAAGTCAGCGCCTGGGCCAGGCATGAGGACAGGTTTGCTCTCAATGTTGGGCCCGCAGGATGCGACATATTAAATAACCTGAGCTCGGACTGGGTATGAGTCCTGACGCCAAAGGATGCCACCGGCAGCCGTAACACCAGATGGCCGCAAAGCCTTTTTGCGACGACTGATAGGTGATAGCAATGTTTGCAGGCAGCGTTCCCACTGCAGCCTATTTTTGTTTACCGCTAGCACCAACAGAAACGACAGCATAGCCACCCTTGTTTGCCATCGGCGCAAGCAGCACAAGGGCTTGACTAAACCAATTTGGGTTCATCAAGAGTCACGCCGTCGGGGTGGTCAGCAGCACACCAATTACGTGTACTTATTATGAGTTGAAGTACGTATGTTGAAGGTAATGTTCCTCTTTGGAGATATCAAAGCGAGCATCAGATATGCTGAAACAAGCCCATTTATAACTATTGGTATGCCTTTTAAGTGGAAAAGACTGTTCTAGACAGCACAATTATCTGTTTGATGAATATGCTCCTCAATGCGTCATGGTTCGATTCCGTCATCGCACCGTGCGCAACATTGATTGAGAGCCAATCGACGCCGTTGTATCTGGAAATCGCGCTCACGTACGCCAGATATGAACGCCTCGACAATTATATTTTTTGGCCTTGATCGCCGGATGACTTATGGAATGACAGGATTTGGATGACGTTATTATGACGTCATGGATGCCGATGTGGCTTTGAAATGCTCTCCCCAATATGCCTTCCCCATTTTCACGGGTGTGTAGCTGAGAAACTAGAGGGCTTGGGCCTTAAGAAAGGCAGGATTTGGAGCAGCACCGAAAGGTCTTCAAAGTGGCTTCTTCAGTTCAAAACCCCATATAAATGTGGAACACTCCGGTTGAGTTCGTATCTCTGCATCGCTAGAATGACAGCCGCTGGGGACTCCGAGCTGGATGGGCCCTTCACCTTCTGGCCAGGAGCTTTCCCATGTGTATTTCTGCGCCTGATTCTCTGAACGGAAATAGGAATACCAGCAACATGAGCAATAGAGATTACGCCATTGCGTCATAAGTTCGTGGTGCTGTACGAGCTAATCCGTTCCGGGTATTAGCCTGGGCACCGCCTAGGTGGGGTCTACGTTCTTGGATACGTCATGTGCGCATATTAATTGTTTTCATAAAACGTTAAAATCAAATTTTGGCGCCAATTTCTAATACATGGTCTTTTTCTCCCGCCCATTGGCCACCGCCAAGTGCCAGCTGCACGGCCGACGTCGAGCGGTCCGCAGAGACTGCAACGCCGGGAGTTTTTTTCCTTGGCTGCGAGCACGCATGTTAAAAGTATTCTGTTAATTTTTTGCTGATGGATACCTGCAGAAGAAGACCTTCTCCAGGCGGACAAGGACTGGACACATCAATGCAGGTTGGTGATTGTATTTCGATTTACGCTGGTGTTCAATCCACGGGTCCGTCAATATCTTTGTACAACTCAGAGAATACCAGGCACCGCTCTGTCGGATATCTTTATGGAACGAACCAGAGGAACCGTTGCGTAGAGAATAGCTCACGTGGTTTATTCGCTGCACTCACTTCATTTCTGATTTATTTAGTTTTATTCATTTCTAAACGCAGGCAGAATTGTATGCTCTGGCTTCTCCCTCAGATAAAGAAGTTCAAAACAGAAAAGACGGCAATTCATCTATCATCACAATCTCTCGAAATAAAGTGGAGCAGATACGGTGTATCACTTTTGGGATGATTTGGGGCATCAGATTCCCTGCTGGCTCTCCAACAACATTGGCCCTTCGTTAACCGCGGTTTCCATCTCTTGCCGTGAGTCTTGCTGCGCCCGTGGCCACAGAGCCTACGCATCCCACTGCTAAGCCTTTTTAGCGCTGTAGACGGCCCTTGACAGAAAGTTAGAAATCAATGTATACTTAGCACAGGACAGTGCTTACAGTTAGATCTACGGCCATTGCGCAGATACAAGTGCAAGGCAACAACAACAACAGTTGAATAGGCCCGTAATGGAACCGATGCCAACGATAAAGGCAGGACTGAAGTGCGAGTCTGATGAATTTACCGCTGATTCGGACATACGCAACTGAAAATGCAAATACAGTCCCACAACGCTTAGGTAAGTCGCTACGCTTCAGCGTCACAAAAATATATTTATCAGACTGATACTTATGATTTACAGTTTCAGGATCAATGGATGGAAATCTGAGCAAGTGCCCACACACATATCAGGTTGAGGCAGGTCATTTAAGTCACCTTTTGATATATGAGGAACTTTGTGTATGATAAATGCCTTTGAAAACAGTAACAGTAATGTATTTCCATCACAATAATACAGTGCGTTGTTTGTTGTTTGTCCCTGACATGTCTAAATGGGTACTGACGAGACCAAACTAATACGGTTACAAAAGTTCGAAAGATACGAGTTGGCGATTCTTCCTTGGCGGTTGCGTTGCAGATAACAGCAGCTGTGTACTCCAACAAATTTGTGTGCCCGATGCAAAATAATATAACCTGCCGCATAAGTAACTTCTCCGTGCATCCAATGTCCCTCAGTTGTAGAATCTGTGGAGCCATTATTGTTTCTGTATCGCTGGAGTCCCATTACTCAGTTCGAATATGAGCAATTTTTATGCTACCCAATGATCCATAAAATATGCCGCATAATATTTGTATTTTTCCATACTAACGACACAAAATATTCCATATATTCCAGGGAATATTAGTTATATGAAGCATTCCATATTCTCCAAATCCTGTCAAATATTTCACGACTAGATTATATATATATATATATATATATATATATATATATATATATATATATATATATACATCGCTTCAGGATTTTACGAATTTCACTAGTTTTGCCACTATCAGCTACAACCAAAAACATCGCGACATTCGCATCATACGATGTCATTTGAGTCATTACGATTTATGACTAATGTACAAGTTACGACCGATACGAAATCAGCGATCTACGAAATACAACTTTCTGTTGGTTTTGTCGTGTCGACGCCAGTCATTCGAGCTCCGTTGTCTAGTTTCGATAGCATTTAGGAGCCAACCTTAACCCGCTTTGTCATGTCCTTTCCGATATTCTAAGCTTATCATGGCAAGATGGGTGTCCCTGGAAAAACGTAAGTCATATGGATATTCCCCCACTATATGTGCCCCTCCACGATGCACAGAGGATGACCTCCCGATAAAGAACAGCATGACAATGAAGTAGACGAAATCCGTTGACTCGAAATCCGGAATCCGGTGGGGGGCATCATGGCGAAGCGTGACCCCTCCCTTGACGAAACCCTGGATTGGCCGGGGGGGGGGGGGGGGGCAGCGGACATTAGACTCCGCCCACCAGCACCGCCGCCTTGTTGGGTAGACTGGAACGCAACATGCCTTTGTCCAAGGATGAAGTAAACAAGGAATACATAAGAAGTGAAGGAGGAAATTCGGCACGGACCGATTGATCAAATTGATTACTCCTTATGCGGAGACACTGAGATAACCTTTATTTTTTGCCACAATTTTGACGACAGTTGGCGACACGGCTGTACCCATTCGAACGTTGCACCGCAGACGACATCGTCGGCGTCCGATTGATGCGGTCTCAGAATGAACAACTTAAACTTATCAGCAGCGTCCTCTGCGTTAAGATCAAGTGTGCCACAACCAGCATAATTGTGAGAACGGGAAAACCGGGGGCCAGTCGCCGGCGCGCGCCGGCATTGTGTAAATACAGCATTGCATCCTGTAAACCCGCTGCCATAAAACCGTTGCGTTCATTTTCGTTCTCTTTTATTTAGAAAAGTACGGACGCACTGGGCCGCCGCGCGGCGTCCAGCCGGCGGCGCGGTGCACATAATCGGCGAGTGCGGCGGTCACAAGCGCGCGGAAGGCGTCTTCCGGCGCTACTTCTTGGTGGGCGAGGCGGGACAGCCGCTGATGCCGCACTTGCAGTCGTCGCCGCAGCCCGACGCGCAGCACGACCTGCTGCAGCAGCAGTTGCCGCACGTGCAGCCGCCCGACTTGCAGCAGTCGCCGCTCGAGCAGCACTTCTTATCTGGCGGGGCAGGAATGGGCGGTGATTGGGGGAGGGCGTCGGAAGCACCCGACCTGCAATTATCGACACTGCGTATGATTCAGCAACACTCTTGAGCTGTACTGGGCACGTGTTCACTTTCCATGCGCAAATGTTACAGTTGAATGGCCCCGCAAAACTTGACCAAAAAAGGTGTAGTCTTTCTGTTTTCAAAGGCACGCATTCTTTTGTGTGAGAGGTGTAGAACTAGCAAACCATAGATGACGAACGGACTCTGAGGCATCATTTTACTTCCAAGCCGCTGGTTGTCATGTCGTTGGTTTGATTTGGATGATATACGCATACTTTGAAGATTTCATTGCGTTCATATTAGGCAAAGCAATATGCGGAAGAACACAGGAGTACAAGAAAGTTCCTAGGAAATTACACGATTCACGCCAGGCTCAAGCATCAGAGTAAAAACGTAAACATGTTTTTTCCAAGGGAATGGAAGCAACCGTGTGCTTCGCCGATGTCCCTGAACCCAGCCAATAGTTTCCGCCCAATCTCCTACCTACCCTTCGAGCCTGAAGATAGGCTACGCCTGGAAATTTGTCCACACAATGTGCAGCCTGCTCCTCTCGCCTAGTGTTCCAGGGGCCAGATGCCCATCTGCACCTCCTACCTTACTTGGGACATTTCCTTATCACAGCAAACCTTTTTGAACCCAAATCCATTCGTACCTTACTAATAACTGGGCTGTCCAAAACAGGCCGAGGAGTCATTGAACCCAAGCTTGTGAACTACCGACTGCCGTAAAACCACTGCTTGCCGTGCTCACATCAGGCCGAGATACGCAGAAAACTGTTGCAGTCGACGCGCCCAAAAATAAAAACATTATCCGAATCCATAGCGTAAAAATAAAATGGGTATCCGAATAAAGCACATGACTCATTTTGTTACAATTTGAAAAGATTCGCAAAAGCACGCATTCATGCTATTTTCCGATGTTATCATTGCGGAAGCAAAAATACTATCCCGTGCAATCAATGCACATGGTGCTCAAAAGCGAAGTCACAGGTGCACGCAAACAAATGAAACGACCCATGCTCTCCAGCAGGGGCGCGGGAACGAGGAGCCAAGTAACTGAACTTTCCGAAAATGCTATATTGACCATAAGGGCATGAAGCAGAAAGACCACCGAAAATGGCCACCGAAATCGGAATCGGACCCGACTTTCGTTCACTGCCCTCCTCCAGCAATCAATGTGATGGTCTCGGAACACAAATATCGCGCGTCGACGGTAAGCCGAGCGGAGTTCGCGGCAATTCACGTTCAAAACGCCTCATTCTTCTGCTGAGCAAAATTACAGTGCAACTCATCCAACCAATAATATTACGCTCTAAACACGGCCAGCACGGCACGCCATACTTACTACCGCAGCACCCCTTGCACGGCATGGTTGTTTAGTGGCGCCTCCCGACCAACAACAATTCCAGACTGCACGCGCTACTGCCGCGTGTGCCTTTATTATCGTCTGCCGGTAGTACCGTGGGCATCGGTCAATGGTTGGCTGCACGATCAACCTTGGGCGTCGGTGGCCAATCAGGGAGAGCGTGCCGGGGGGCGTGCATTCTTTGCCTACTGGCCATGTGCCGGGTGCAACTAGTAGTGTCGTCAGACGGGGCGCCATTTACCGGTCAATAGCGGGGCAGTGCGATCAGACAAAGAGTTGCTGTTAAAAAGCAACTAGGAATTTGCTGATGCTGATGCTAGCTAGAGTTAGCGCAAACAACAGCAAACACTAGCAACTATGAGTGAGACGTGTTTGGGACGTCTTTGTAGTCCCAAGGTTGGCACCATGTGATAGTAATGCTGTTACCTACTGCTAGGGGTTGTTCGCGCAATACACCAGACATTTTTGCCCCTTTTCCACCCACACACGTCACGCATGTGGGAAATCTAACTTCCTAAATGTACATAATTTCCTAAATCTAAACAAATAACAGCAAACGGCATTAGAAAGTAACATAACACATCGTAATACAATTAAAGTTCTCTATGACTGCCCGCGATAATTCGTCATCCATAACCCGGAACTTATTCGTGAATTACCATCTCGCACCTCGCGCTGGTCAATAATCATCTCAAACACTTCTGGTGCCATCCTGGGCACACCAGTGAACAAGTGAACAAGCTTGCATGCCTCGTTTACGGTGAAGTTGAATGGCTCGGGAATGCTCCCAAATGCTACCATAGTTACAGCATGAAGGGCGACTTAGGTGCACCTGCAGCTTGAAGACATTTTGTTTAGAACGCTCCGGCGCCCGGAAGTGTTGACCCTTTGACTTTGGGGGCGGCTCAGGCCACCCGCGAAATCGGACGCCTTAGTCATGCCTTGACTGATCATGATCGTGGTCTGTAAAGGCATCATGTGATGTCTTCACAGAATTAAGCCCTAGTTGCCGATGACGATAAACCCGGATTCAGCACTGTGGTAGCGTGTTAACGGCATTTCTTTGCTCTGTACTGCGGCTTATTCTAAGACTCTGAGGAAGGAAACAGAAAACATCAAATGTTATTTTGCGCGTACGATCTCAGTACCCTTCAGAGCGTGCAGAAGTAACTCGCCCTACACCTCAGTCTTCGTGTAAGAACGCGTCCCGCGATTTTCTGCACCGCGAGACGGGATGCCTGTCAAACCCCTCCGAAAACACCGGAGACTTCTGCTGGTCTCAACAGGCTCCGCGTGGCTTGCCAAGGAGAGGCACCGTCGCCGCCTCGAGCCACTCCAACCGCGAAACAGCTCGGAGGGAGGATCCAATGTCTGTTGGTGAGCGGCGCGGCCCGCTTTGGAACCGACAACATCCGGCCTGGGCCGGCCGGGCCCTAACTCAGCGTGCACACTGCCGCATTCCCTGCGCAGTCAACACATAAACACGGCCTGCAGGAGAGGGAGGAGGCGACGGCGTGACCTTGCCGGCGGACGGCACGCCGCAGCTGCGCCGTCCGGCCGTGCGCGACACGGCCGCCGCGGCGCGCGGACGTGCCCTGTCATCCAACGGGCGACGGGCCGCCCCGGGCCGGGGAGCAGCCTTGAGAGGCACTGGCGCTGCCGGCCTGCCCGGCGGCCCGGCATTTACGCTCGATATGTGACGGCGGCGTATCCGTGCCGGTGTTGTGCAACGAAAAATGCAACCGGCAGAGGAAGCCTTGTGCGGGGCGAGGCAGGTGTGGTGATGCCACACGTAAATGTTGGTTATAATCATCATGTAGGTTGCATCAGATCAGATTGGAAAACGGCTTCACGTCTTTGGAAGCCAATGCAAATGCGTTTGGTGGATGGATTAGGGCCTCAACACCCAATGTTTCAGTGAAGTCCTCTAGGAGAGACGCACCGATGTAGCATTTCGGCGCCAATTCGCAACACGCATTGCTTGAAAAGTGGCTGGGTATACCTAGCAATTTCAGTACACGGAATCGGTGCATTTGCATTGATACGCGTTTTTGCTGGCTCGGTAGAGCTTGGATGTAGTGTTGAGTTGAACGCAAATGTCCTTCGTGAATGTTCGTCACTGGTGTGAGACCGAAGCCCTCCTCTTCTTATCACACAAGAGTCCCACATCAGGACCGGTCTGTAATAGGACGCGCGTCCGCTTGCGACCCCAAGTCACCCGAGGCGCCCGACCCTCGCCCAGCCGAGGGTCGGCTATTTTGGGAGCCATCGCACCGACGGATACCTGCACCTGTCACGAACGCTGCGCGAAAGCTTGGAAGACAATTTTCGGCCCTGTCGGACGTCTCTGTTTCGTTTTTCGTCAACACTGGGAACTGCTTTCATACTTGTGTTTTTCCCTCTGCAACCTTTCGGTTCATTTCACAGCATACCGTATAAACTCGCTATGTCTTGTTGATTTCACGGCATACGGTGAAAACATGGCAGTGGTGGCTTACGCGTGTATTGCTTGTGCATCCATGTGTGCGGTGTGTTGAGGCCGCTCAGTCATTTGTAGGAACTTCATTCACTTGCACGGCGCAATTATTTTGAAGCATTCATGTGCTCTGGCTGCAGATATCTGGCACCAATTCGGAGGAACGTCATATACCTGTCAGGTCCATCATTGCAGCGCTGGACCGGTCAGACTTACCTTTGCTACATGCTGTTTTCATGGTATAACTTCCGCAAACGAATCGCACCTATGACATGAAACGTGCAGTATCTCGAAATGTTTACAAGGACTATCTTGTGTTTGAAGTCACATTAAACCAGATCAAAAGTTGCCTGATACGGTCTTCGCATTGCCTGATATGGTCCTCTTCTTATTGCCTGATGTGGCCTTCTTTGTATAGCCTGATATGGTTTTCTTCATATCACCTGATATGGTCTTCTTCGTACTGCCTGATATGGCCTTCTCCATATTGCTTGATCGCAATCGGTCAACGTGTTGCACCAGGTCACAAATGTCGAGCCAAGCCATTCTGACCTCACGCTGTCATCTTAGATCGATAACGCTTTTCGCTATCTTCATAATATAACATAACAATGTGATGAAGACGATAAAAAGCATATGTAAGCGCAATCCGAAGTAAAGTCGAAAAATAGGTGTTTTATATCCTATTGTGCATAAAGAAGCTCTCGACGACCTCAGCTGACCTGATGAAGGATGACGTGACTCAGGTCAAGCCGAAGAAGCCGACTCAAGCCGACTCTGACAAACCTCGTCAGCCACCGGAGCCGAAGAAGCTGCTCTGACAAACCTCGCCAGCCACCGGAGCCGAAGAAGCTGCTCTGACAAAGCAAACCGGCCACCGGAGCCGAAGAAGCCGCTCTGACAAACCTCGCCGGCCAAGAGGTACGAGGAGAGCGGACCCCAAGGGCCCAGGTGCTGTCGGTGGTACGCCCGGATGCATCCGCCCGCCTACGTGCGCGGACAGGAAAAGGTGCACGACCCAGCAATTGAAGCTGCAGTAGAGGCCGGCCGTACTCGCCGGCTGGCCAGCGCAGCAGTCTGTGCACTGTCCTGCTGAGCCGTCTCAGCGCCGTCTCTCGACTGCCAGTACCACCCAGAGAGGCCCCTGAGCTGCCGGTGTCACCCACACCGGCCCCCCGGCTGCCAGCACAAGCGCGCCACTCAAGCGCATGCTTCATGCAGACACAATAAAAACAACGCTAATCTGTCCCGCATCAGTGTCGCTACTTCGGAAGGCCGTCGGCAGCAGAGGAACCGGTATTGGTGGTATACCGGCAGGCCAGAGGAGGCGCTGGTTCGGTTCGGGTCTGTCGTCCAGTGCACAGGCACAGCGGCACTCTCAGCACGCCCAGCCCTCGCTGCAAGCAGAGTCGCTACGGCGTGTGCCCTTTCTTGTCCGGAAATACAGCTGGACTGGCGGGTCCGCACGGCTGCTTCTGGTTAAAGCCCTCATGGTTGAGATTTCCTTTACCCAATCCGCTCGCTACCCATGGCCCCTGTCCCTTCATCATCCATCCCTGATCAGGCTGTGCCCACCTGTTACCGACGAGTTTGCATTCTCACAGCGCATTGATTGTAAATTATCGATAAGATTCGGAAATGTTTAGTCAAACTTACTCTTTTACGATGACTGCGAAAAGTAGTGTGAATGGAGTTAAGCGTGCCTAAGAGTACTAGCGTGGCATTCTGATTTTTTAAATTGTTTACCCGACGACCCCGAAACATAAAACTTAATCCGCTGGTGTTATGCAGGCGGCTCTATCATTATTAGCTTACGGACAAAGAGAATGACGTGGTCGACGACATCGAACCCCCCCCCCCTTCCCCTGCCCCCATCAGTATCGTCATAAAAGACGGTGAATCAGAGTGACGATTAACGTTACAGTTGGCTCACAGCATGAGACCCACTAGTCGCAAAGTACAGTGACCACTCAGAGGCATTGAAGCACAACAGCGTCCTTCACTAACCGCGTCTCAGACTCTACAGTGACGTTCATTGTCGTATGGAGGTAAAACACACCATGTCTGTCCAACTTGTATTATCACAAAGCGACATGATTCTGCGGACCAGCCTGTCTGCCTTTCTAAGACATGGGCCTGTCTGGTGCTGATGCGTATCCATGTTGGACCCAGTTCCCAACCAAGCCCGGCTGGCGAGACCTAGAGTAAGCTGCTCCCATTCGCCGGACGCAGCTGGCCTTCAACGAACCGCCCAAAACCGTCAGCGCCCTCAAGCGGCCGCGCACCGCTCCACCAGTTCCTCCAGCAGCCGGCGGGCGGCGTCCAGGTGCTGCAGCGGCGCATCGTCGCCGCTGATCTGCTCGGGCGAGACTCGTCCGGCGGCCGCCAGGGCGGCGCTGGCGGCGGGCCGGCAGCCGGACAGCGCCGTTGGACTGGCGGCCGTCAGGGCGCGCAGCACGTACGAGCACGTGACCACCTGCGCCAGCACCTGGAACAGCGGGCGGCACTGTGGCGGTCCGACGCTGCGAGCAGAGCCACTGCGCGCCGGGACCACGTTGGGCACAGTCGTGGCCAGGGGTCGTGACCTCACGTCACCTTCAGTCGTGACGGGGCCACCCGGCATGCCGCGCGGGAGATCGCAAACGGTCTGCCCCCCACCCCACGCCCAGCACAATACGCTTTGTCGCACAGGGCGGCAAATATGGAACGCTTCCTATACTGCATGGCATCGGACATACACGACTGAACTTGCACATCTTGCACATCGACTTGCACATCGCAGTGATAACATCCTTTTCACAAACGGATTCTGCGGAGCTACCGCGGCATTGGGAGCAAACATCTTGCTGCCCGGTACAAACAAAAATACATGAATCACGAAGAAATGATACAACGTTCCACGCACGTAACGACAATAAATGCATTGTGGGCATGCACAATCCCTTCAACAGCACGTGGTCGACACAGTCGCTCTGTGGCGTGAGACATCCTGCCAGCGAAACACCCAGTGGAGCGACGCTCTACTCCCAAACATGATGTGCTGGGGCCAGGGGTCGTCACTGCTGGTCACTGCTCAACTTTTGCTTTTCATGACGCATTTCCCACACGGAATCGACCCGAGAGCACTGTCCCGGAGCTGACGTCACACGATCCAGCCTGCATCGGCAGGGGGTGGGGAAGCTCACCTCGTCCGGCTCGTCGTCGTCGGCCGGCTGGACGGCCGCGTGCAGCCGCTCCAGCAGCAGGCGACAGCCGGGGGCGTCCCGCCACAGCGGCGCCAGCAGGGCGGCCGACAGCGGCGACAGCTCCGGACAGGGCGCGGAGGTGCTGCCCTGCGGCGGCCGACACGGGTCACACGCCGCCGCCGCGTCGAGTGGCCTCACACGAGCGGCGAGCGTCACACAACACGGCGGGCGCAGCCGCGCCACGGGGCGCCGACACGGGTCACACGCCGCCGCCGCGTCGAGTGGCCTCACACGAGCGGCGAGCGTCACACAACACGGCGGCCGCAGCCGCGCCACGGGGCGCCGACACGTCGCTTTCTATCTCAATAGCTAAGAAAGCTACCTAAGCGAGACAAATGACTTGCTCGTGCTTTACACATTGCTTCAAATATCTGTGAATATTGTCTGTGACGAGTCAAACAGGTTAAGAAAAGTCACACAAACTTCAAGAAATAATCACTTCAGTGAGCCTGAACAGGCTTAACCTCGTATGACCTGGCCTTGTTGCATTATATACAACAGTATCACCATACAGTATGACAAGATACAGCAAGCCAATGCATAGAACCCCTTCACAACGCAAATTATAGCACAGTCGTACGTAATAAGGCGCACGCACGCCAGCTAAGACCGGCACCTCAGGAAAGCTCGAAACAGCCGTCACAAATCATGACATTACAAACATGTGCAGTATGTCAACCTTCGCAGTGGTGTCCAAATAGTGAATATATATCCACTGAAAATATCGGCAACACGCGTTCGTGGGTTCTAGACTTACTCCCAGAGTACGTCAGCCCCCCCCCCCCCCCCCCCTCCGGCGGAGGTCAACTCCAAGCACGCTGCGAGAGCTGGCAGCTCCATCACGCCGTCGGGCACAGACACCGGACAGCGGCGGCCGTACCTTCAGCTTGAGCCGGCTGACGTGGGTGGTGGCGGCGGCCAGCAGCAGGGAGGCGAGGTCGGTCAGCGGCTGCTGGCCGGCGACGCCCAGCCGACGCCAGCCGGCCAGCAGACTGCGCAGCAGCGTGCCCAGCTCGGCCAGCTGGTCGTGGCGCAACTCGCGGCCGTCCGCCGACAGGTTGGTCAGCTGACCTGCCGACACGCGCGCGCACACTTCAACGGCGAGTTACGTCGGGCTCCAGCTCACGTGACGGACGCTACCCTGGAGAGTCGCCAGGGACACCGGGCATACGACTGGAGCACGACCCGCCCGACCAAACACCCGCCGTCCGGAGCAGACGACTTCCCGGCGAAAGCAGTCAAGACCCGCCACATTACAACTTCATCCGGGCACCGAACCCAGCAAGAAGACATCACAGCATTTCCATACACAGAGCACCGTCAGTCGCTGCGCGGCGCTGACCCCGACCGGCGCCCGGTCGGCACCCACTCACCGACGGCGGCGCCCACCAGACGCGGCGCCAGCCCGCCGTGCACCTGCTGCCAGGCCGGCAGCTCGGCCGGCGCCACACACGTGGTCGCCTCCAGCAGGTCGGCCGCGTGGAATAGCGAGGCCACGCACACGTCCAGGTCTGCCCGGCAGAAAGAGGCCGAGGCTGAGACACTCCGCCACGTCACGTTATGATGGCGCCAGCCTGAGGGCTACGCACGTCTTTACATGCAGCACTTTGTCTCTGATCAATAGCAGACCCAACACACGTCACCGTTTGATAACCGACAATCATACGTCCACGAAGCCCACAGAGCGGGCGACAAACCAGCCACGTACCGGCGTCCGATCCGGAGAGCCCCAGCAGGAGCCAGTGGACTGTCGCCTCCGCCAGCGGCAGCGCCAGACAGCCCGTCAGCGACGAGTTGAGCGCCGCGTCCGTCAGCAGGCACGAGACGCGCGCCAGCAGCGCCGTATTGGGCCAACGGGCCGGCTCAGAGGCCACCCTGCAACGGCCGACGACACTAGGGGCGACACAATGCCATACGCCACTGCACACCTGATCTTACCACTATATCCACTCCTCATTTCACCGCTATGTGACTCCCGATCTTTCTAAAAATTGCATAATTGATCTCAATCCTCCTGGTCACGGGTTAAGCACATGTTAGCGGCTCATGAACAAGGCCAGTGTACGGGATCCGATGCTTGATTGCATGATGCTTCAGCGATCGGTGCTATTCAGCACACACGCCCTTTTAAAATATATCTGGATGAATACGGGACAAATTTCGGGGCAGGAATTGAAACAAAATGGGTCGCGAAACAGCCTTGATTTTGAGAGGGTCGATGCAATAATATAACACAAAAGATGGGCACAGGAATACAACAAGCAAACTCTTTGGTGTCGCTTGCCACGCGACCTTTTATATTCCGAACCATTGTGCTTCTCTCACCTGTACCTGCCCTGGAGTTAACACCGACATCTCACCTGTGTCCCCACTGGAGCAGGTTCTGGACGGTGCGGAGCCCGGGGTCGGGCCGCTCGGCAGCGGCCAGCGCCAGCGCCAGCACTAGCAGCGTGCGTAGCATCTCGGCGGCCAGCTCGTCGCGGTCCGAGTCGGCCTGTGACGAGCCGAGCCGCTCCTCCAGCAGAGCCTACCGGTCCGGGCAGTCGCCCAGTTAGCGGGCGACAGCACACAGTCGGCCTCAGCCGCCGACACGCACAAACGCGGCGCGTCCAGACTCCTGGCCAGCTTACATACAGGCCCGCCGGAAGACAGGAAGAAGTGACAGCGGAACCTGACCAGAGCCATCACCGCACCCATCACCCGTCCGGGCGGCACACTTCGGTGCCACACATCCGCAGCCAGGCGCCACGTGTCGCGCCTGGAAGCCGGGCGTGCCAGCCCGCGGCCGGGCGGCGCACCCACCGTGGTGGAGGCGGCCATCCAGACGCTGAGCTCCGTCAGCGGGCCGGCGTGCTTGACGGCCAGGCCGCGACGCCGCAGGCTCGGCGAGAACAGGTGCAGCAGCCAGCGGAGCGCCAGCCGGGGCCGCGGCCGCGGCCGGCGGGGGTCGCGGAACCGCACGCCCGCCGCCGAGCGGCGCAGGTTCTGTCGGAGCACGCCGGCATCGCACGTCACGCGCCACGCCGGGCCAGACGGTGCCGCTCGGGCTGGATGGGGGCGTGGGATCGGAAGTCGTCCTGATAAATGCAACGTTCACTTTGATGACTGCTGAGTTTTTGCTCCTCCAACAATGCCAACAGCAGAAATTTGTGAGCCTTTCGAAAACATGATCGGCATTAACGACGCACATACATGTAAGCCATTTCAATCTATTTAAAAGCATATTCTGTTTATTCTAACTTATCAATATCATGGTCCTATGAACCCAGTTCATCAATCACGTGTTTTCCTCGCAGCTAATAAACAGCATGCCAAAAGGTCTCAGAGCCCGGCGCCGGCGCAGGAGCCGCAGTCGCCTACCCCCCACCCCTGAGCGCACCTTCTGCGAGGCGACGAAGCTGCGCTCGCCGTCAAAGGCGGCCCGAAGGCACTCGTCGCACAGCTCGATGACGTCATCGCCGCGGCCCCAGTTGACCAGCGGGTCGAGCAGCTGGGCGCAGCGGTCGGCCGGCGCGTCGTCGGGCAGCTGGCGCAGCGCCGACAGACAGTGCGAGGAGAGCGGCGCCATGGCCGCGTGCGGCAGCAGCGAGGCCACGTACAGCAGCGAGGCGCCGGCCGGCGAGTCCTGAGGCGCGGACAGACGGGGTGACGTCACACGTAGGCGGCTACAGGCCTGGGCTACTCTTGCAGGTCTGTGCTAGACGGCAACATGGGATACATCAACAAGATACCTGGGTGATTAAGATGCATACTCATACTGTACCGATCTGTACCCGCATACCTATCCCCACATATTACCGATCAGCAGCGGATGGCATGGCGCATGATTGCTAAAACATGCCGCAGAAGTGACCGGCGGGCCGTGGCGACGGGACGACTCCGTTTACACGGCTCCTCGCACCTTGTGCTGGCTGAAGAGGAGCGGCAGGACGCGCGACCAGGCCTGCTGCAGCCGCTCCAGCAGCTCTACCTGCTGCGACAGCTCGGCCAGCCGGCTGGTCCACAGCACAGCCACCACGTCCACCAGCCCCAGCACCACCTCCTCCTTGTCGAGCGGCGAGGCCGGCTCGGCGGCGGCCGGTGAGGAGCGAGCCTCCAGGCCGGAGTCGTCCGACGAGCCGCTCTCCTGGCCTGCCGACAGCGCGCGCCGTCAGCCGCGGCCGGCCGCCACACGCTGGCCCGGCACGCAGGAGCCGATCCATCCGGTGACAGTCGGCGCTGGCCGGCGTGAGATGGCCGGCCGGCAGCACACGTCGACCCACGCTCTTGGGCCGGTGCGCCGGTGCGCGCTCGCCTCCGCTAGAACGCGTCCGCTCTCCCGTCGCTGCGACGCCCACTGACGTTCCCCAGCTATGTACTTCCCCATGTTAACAGCAGTTGACAGCGGTTATGCAGGCGATGGCGGTTAAGTAGTCGCCAGCGGCCGTCACAGCACCGGACGCCTAGCTGGGAGACTCACTTGCGTCGGACAGCACGGACCGCTCGTCGACGTTGTGCAGACGTCGTTTGCCGGGCCGGCCGCCTGCCGGGAGGACGGGGCGTGGGCCCGAGCTGCGTTAGGCCAGCGATGGCGTGGCAGTTACAGCGGCCACGGCAGCCAGCCTCGACAGAAGGGACGTAGCAGCGCACGTGGCGTGCAGGAGACGCGACATGGCGAGTCACGAAAGAGAAACTAAACGCTTGACACGGCGGTCAATCATTGCTTGTCTTCGCAACAGCCGACGCGCTGCAGGACCGGCACGTGGCGCGTGACGAGGCCGGCCCGGACCTTCTTAAACAGGTGTGTAACAGTCAGCAGGCCGCCAACAGCCGTCCGCACAGATGGTTGACGAAGCAGAACACAACCAAGCACGTAGCCAGTCCCAAGCCCCCGCAAGCGATGTGGAAGGCACAAGCAGCATGCCGTGTCAGCCCTCAGAAAGCAGGCCATTGCGGTAGGCGTGGCTAGACGCGTCCCCATGGAAGCCCTCCGTCCCCTACATGTCGCAGGACCGTGTGTACCTGCTCCGTGCAGCAGCGAGGCCGCCACCCCTACCGGCAGTGCTGTTCTCCTTGTCGCTGGCCGAGGCGCCGCGCTGGGGCCGGACGGACGCGCGCCGCTGCAGCGCCCGCCGGGCGTGGATGGTCAACGCTTGGCGGATGACGATCATCAGCCGAACGGCGTCATCCACCGACAGCTCCTGCGGCGCGCGACGGCGTACAGTGTCAGCGGCATACCGGCACGGACAGCGTACGGCACCGCGGTGCGTGCATACCACACACGGACAGCAGTACATGCCAGCGGCATGCCGGCACGGACAGCGTACAGCACAGCGGCGTGTGCATACCACACACGGACAGCAGTAGCAACAGTAGCAGCGAAACGCGGTTCACCAGCTACAAAGGCAGCGTTTGCCGCCGCACGAGCCGGAAAGTAAACCCGATGGTGTGACACTGGCGTCATCTGACATTCCGCGGCGGTACACAAGGCTACCGGGCCGTGTGGACCGGCGGGCAGTGCCCACCTTGTCCTGAATGCTGGTAGAACCGACGGCTGGCCGGCCGGCTCTCCTGGATCAGGCAGATGCAGCGCGTCAGCAGCGTCTCGTCCGACTCGGCCGCCGGGAAGAAGCTGCGGCGAGCGGGGCGAGCGCCGGTCAGCACGGCCGGGCGGCAGGGCGATAGCAAGATGGGCACGTGCCATCACGGCCAGGCCACTACCCTCAGTCAGCCGGGGACGGCCCACCACGCCGCGAAACAGCCAGAGCAGCGAGCGGAGAACGGCGCTGATAGCGGCCGTGCACACAGCGGGCTGACCTGCTTTTTTCGACGGCAATCTCGGCGATCTGCGGCGGAGCTACCCCAGCCACTCAGTCACCTGTTCATCACTGCTCGCTGCTGACCATCGGGCGCCGTCTTACCTGTTCGCCGTCAGCTGGACGATGCGTCGACAGACGGGCGGCTCGTCCACCGACAGCCGCGCCAGCAGGTGCTTCACCGGCACGATGTCAAAGTAGCGCATGTTCTGAAACGGAGGCGCACCGCCCGCTAGCCACGTGCTCGCAACGACCCATCAAGATCACCCATTTTCAGGACACAATGTTACTATGTGGCGTTCTTTCTAACTTCGTGTTCGTAAGTGTGGCATTGGTCCATTTCAACTTCACAGCAAGGCTATCTCTTTATGCACCACCGGCATGTCGTTAGGATGGCACGGCCGGCGTATTCCCGCGCCAGATATCGTAAGGCATTGCAGGAGACGCCCGCGGCCATGGCAGACGCTGAGACCTATTGAAAGCCAGCTGACTGGCCGTGGCTGTATGTACAGACAATGCCCTTCCCTCCTCATTCGATATCCAGCTGGCTGGCCGTGACTGCATGTACAAACACCGCCCCTCCCTCCTCATAATTAATCATGCAGTCTTCCTGCTCCGCGACGGTCACCAGCCGTTCATACTCGATGGTCGCTCCTCGTCTGTGTGTCGCCGTTGGAATCCAGAGCAGCAGAGCGTCGCGCATAGTGTCACCCGCAGCGGCCCTTGGCCCCGCGGCTCGCGTACCTTGATAGGCTTGACCTTGAGCAGGAGGTCACACATGGCGACCCGCACCGACAGGTGCACGTCGTGGAAGGCGTCCGTCAGGAAGGGCAGCTGCCGACTTCATGTAGTTGTGCGTGTACGGGTTGTCCAGCACCGCGCACAGGCCCTGCGACGGACCGGGCACAGGCACACTGCTCACTCACCGCCCGGGACCCAGTCATGATAAGATGCTTACACCGACGAATGAAGCCGCCTGCATGGTCTGCATGAATTTCACACACGCGCTCGACAAATGTTCCCAATGCCTCCACAAACCAAGAGCCGACTATTCAATCACATGGGCAGCAGGTTCAGCAAAACCGGCTCCACGCGAGCAACAGGTAAAATTTCAGGTGACTGCAAATGTTTCAAACTATGTGACTCATTACCTAAACTCCTTTGTAAAACGAGGGCAGACCAGTGCCGGCCATGGACCCGCGACAGACCCGGCGCAAACGGCATCAGAATGACGGCTGGAAGGGGTACGCACCGAGACCACCTGGTGTCGGACCTCCACCGAGGAGGCGTCGTGGGCCAGCTCCTGCAGCAGCACCTTCATCATCTGCTTCAGGTCGTCGGCCGGGATGATGCTCCAGTACTGCGCCAGCACCTTGCAGACTCCCTGCCAAGGAGTCGGCTGTGAGGAGGCGTCAGAGGGGCTCGCTCACTGTCGACTCGCCACTCACGCCCGCACAGCGCCAGGATAGCAAACAACAGGCGCCAATGGGTCAGTCAGAGGAGGGAACACTTTTACATATGCCGGCCACTCACAACAATGCAGTGTGAGCGTGGACACGTGCGCCAGTTTGGCATCCAGAACATGCCACATCAATTAGACGACCCATCACTGGGCGAACGCAGCACCAACAGCGCGTGCGTGTGTGATGGACCCGGCTACTTCACCAAGTGGAGCGCTATTCCAATTCCCAGCCTCAGTTTAGAGTAACAATAAGACGAGTCGTCTGACCCCGGGCTGAAGCCGGCTGTCGCGACCCGTTCGCCGAGCCGAGTCGTCGGTAGCGAAGCCGCCGGACCGAGTCCTGGCCCGCCTCCGCCCAACTCACCTTGGCGGCCGCCACGCGGACCTCGTGCGAGCTCTGACGCAGCAGGCCGGTGATGAGGCGGCACTGGCGGGCCAGCTCGAGCTCGCGCTCCTCGCGGCACGCGGCCGGGTCCTCCAGCGGGAACGTGTCCAGCAGCAGGAAGGTGGCGTTCAGCTGTACGGTGGCGTGCGTCGCCTGGCCGCGGGGTGCGCACCAGCCGTCAGACGGCAGGCAGACGGGCGCCGGCACCTCGCACGCGCTCCGCCGCAGCAGGCGTCGGCGGCGCGCCAGCCGTCCACACGCGACACCCGTCAGGAGCGGCACCGGCACCGGCACAGCCCGCCCCACACAGGAGCCAATGTAACCGGGGATTAAGCGCCAGTACATGAAGTACACGGACACGGCGGGTGGCGCCGCGGCAGACGGGCTACAGCTGCCGAGCGATCAACGGAGCCGCGCGGACACCGGCTGCCCCATACCGGCGAGCCACCATCTCACTGCTGCCGAGCGATCAACGGAGCCGCACGGACACCGGCTGCCCTGTACCGGCGAGCCACCATCTCACTGCTGCCGAGCGATCAACGGAGCCGCGCGGACACCGGCTGCCCCGTACCGGCGAGCCACCATCTCACTGCTGCCGAGCGATCAACGGAGCCGCACGGACACCGGCTGCCCTGTACCGGCGAGCCACCATCTCACTGCTGACCGCGGCCTGTAATAGCCCTGCGGGTGCTAGACGAATAAGAAGGGGACGTATTTGGGCGACAATCTAGACGTTTTCGGCAATGAGCCTGACGGGAAATGCCTTCTGATACACATGTGTGGAGAATTTCGGAATGCTCTCCTGATTCATTTGCCAAACTCTTTTAGGAGTCTGCACTTCCCGCAACACATTTCCGCAACGCCAGCGTCATCGTGGGCCGGAGGGGCACGCAAGTACACGACAGCAATGCTTTCGTTGTGCCAAGCGTTTTAGTACGGTGTTACGGCCGAACAGAAACCACAAAACAACGGCAAAATTCCAACTAGAGTTTGGGTTTGGAGTCAGGAGTTTGGAATGTGTTCAGTACGAACTTTTCCAACACTACTTTTGCTACGACGTCGAAAATCACAGCAGGTCGCAACGAGCCAAGTGAGAGCCCAACCCGTCACGCCGGCGGACAACTAGGCGGAGCGTGCACGTCACTGCCGGCAGGTCTTCAGCCGCCGGTGGCGGACAGCGCATACGTCTGGCGTCCCACCTGAGTCAGCCGCCGGCCGCCGGCCGGGGCCGGGGCCGGGGCCGGGGCCGGGGCCGGGCCGGGGCCGTGACCTACCGTGAGCGCGCGCCACAGGATGGGCTGGTAGAGCCGCACCAGCATGTCGGCCGTGTCCCGGTGCCGGCGCTGGTTATGCATGTAGTGCAGCAGCTGAAACAGCAGGCGCGGCAGCCGCGAGCGCTGCCGGTCCGCGTACACCGCGTGGAACATCAGGTCCTGGATGCACTCGTCCTCCAGTTTCTGCCGGAGGGCAGTGCACCGTCAGGCGCTGGTGGGAGGGGGTCTCACCGCTTGTGAGACGGTGCCAACCAAGGTGGTGAAACGTTCGGATAAAACGTTCGGCCCGTTAGAAGTCACCCTCTTTGATTCGACAACGACTCGCAGCTCGCAGTCTGACAAACAATTCTGCCAAAGTTGACAGTACCATCGAATCATCCCGCTATTGAGAGCCCATCTAATGTGCCCTGACAAAAGACTGCGCAGACGAAACACGCATAATGATGATGGAGCTTTGTCTTTTCTGGTTCCAGCATTATAAATTTTACTTTGGGCCGAGGGTCACGACCTTTTCCCGGCGATAGGCTACGAGTTCGAATCTCCAACGAGGCATTCAGTGCAACTTATACAAGGAAAGGCGCATATACTAAGATAACAGTTGTACACGCCAAACGGTTTCCCAAATTTGGAGGTTCTGGTTCTGAAATGACAGCCACGAGCGCGCATCAGACTGCCAACGGCCCACATTGATGTGTGGCACACCAGCCGTCGGCGGCATGAAATAGGAGAACAAATCACGGCAGTACCCAGTGATTTGTCTCTGCTCTCCCACATCTTGCAACACGAAGACCAGCGCACGGAAGGCACAAATTATACATCTCCCACATAGCATGTATGAAAAACATACACAGGCGCCTGAAAAGACTTCTGTTTGATCCCGAATGGTGGATTTGTCCAACGGCTTATTTTCGACCTTTGGCTTTCGAACTCTTTAAGATGGCCTAAACTTCCTTGAACCCCCCCCCCCCCCCCCCCCCCAACTGACTCTTGAAATCACAGCAGGCATGAAGTGCCACAGCCAACCATTCCTGCCGCTGGCCCCGCGCGGGGCGGGCGGCACACCCACCTTCCTGGCGTCGGGCTCGGCGTGGCGCCACGCCCGGTGGTACGCCTGGCCGTAGCGCAGCGCCTGCTGCGTGCCGACGGTCGGCAGCACGGCCTTGATGGCGCCGTGCAGCGGCGCGCGCAGCGCCGGCACGGCCAACAGCTCGGCCAGCAGGCGCACGCCCTCGTCCCAGGCCAGCAGCGCCGGGCACTGGGCGGCGGCGCAGAGCAGCTGGCGCAGCCGGCCGGCCGGCGCCGGCGGCCGCTGCAGGCACGGCAGCAGCACCAGCGCACGCTGCACCAGCGAGCGCTGCCGGGCGCCGGTACACGGTGTCACGCGATGGCCACCCGCAGTGAGCGACACATCACCCGCCCGAGATGGCCGGAGAGGTGAACTGTGCTCAGGAAACAGCGTGCCAGCGGCAAACAAGGCTGGTCGAACACGGAGAGTGGTGAATGGTCAACATGGTCATCATCAAACACAATGTTTTGGGAGTGGTAAAACGGTGCATCGGTATAAGCAAACCATACTAACTGATAAATCAAATCATTTTTCAACACCTAATGCGAGTCCGAACTGAGTAAAAGGTGCCCAGCCCGGCGCAACAGACCGCCATGAGCCCCGCGCACCCGGCAGCGCCGACGGCTGCCGTCCCCCCCCCCCCCCCCCTCCTCCACCAACCGTGGTCTTGCGGTCGGCGGCCACGGCCAGCTGGAGCAGGTAGGTGAGCGCGGCCGGCGCCAGTACGTGCCGGTCGGGCAGCGCGCCGCTCCACCAGCGCTCCGAGAGCCGGCTGACGCGGCCACACAGCTCGTCCAGCGCCGGCTCCTCGTCCAGGCTCAGCAGCATCGTGTTCAGGATCACTGGCGCCAGGCAGCGCACGAGCGTCAGCCGACACATGCGGCAGGCGGGCAGGGTCCGCCGGCCCGTCTGCCCGTGAGGTCACGGACGATCATGGGCGCGCAGCACCCGGCCGTGGACGTTGTTGGCACGGCAGCTAACACTCACGTCACTGCTGGAGCAGCCTCTCACCCGACGTATGGGGAATGGCACATAGACGGACACACGGCAGAGCTCGTGAGAGCCGACAGCACGGGTCACCGCCAGGTGGCATGTCTGCCGCACAGCTCAGTGCGCCGCCGGCCTGGCGCCCCAGCGCCTGAGCCCAGACCAGGCTCTGACCCCCTCAGCTGGCTTGGTGGGGCGTGTGTGACCCACAGCAGGCTGGACCAGTCACCTGCCAGCTGCAGTAGGCCGGGCGGCACGGCTGCCTGCCCGTCGCCAGCGGTCTCCAGGCCGGCCACCGTCGACAGCGCCGCGTCAAGTATACCATTCAGCAGGTCCACCCTTTCTTTCTGAAAAACATGGACATGTGGGGATGAGGACGTGCAGCTGCGGCGAAGTGAGGCAGACCATGGCAGAGAGGTGAGGCAGACCATGGCAATGCAGTAAGGCAGACCATGGCAGTGAAGTGAGGCAGACCATGGCAATGCAGTATGGCAGACCATGACAGTGAAGTAAGGTGGACATGGCAGTGACGTGAGACGGACCTTGGCGGTAAAGTGAGCTGAGGCCACAGCAACAAGTGTCTGAGCAATCCAGACACGATTCGACAGTTGAGTTGGTATCACGCGATTCGGGAAGCCCACGAAAACGCAGTGTCACGCTGCACCACACCACCACACATATGGATGAGGTTTAATGGAACATTACAGGTCTCCTTGCCTCAATATCTCCATCACCCTCAGGCACCAGGCTGTCCAGGGTGGCTGTGGCCCAGCCAAGGAGTGTGTCCCACAGGGTCTCCAGCTGGGCATGAGGCAACTCCACCAGCACCTCATCCAAGTTCATTGGTGTGGACCGACTCCTCTGGAAATGGCATAATGGCTTAAACATTACCACATATGACGTCATGGACACCTAGCGATAAATTGTGCTGGAGGTAAGATTAACCTGGCTGCAAGGTGGTCCAGAACAGACCTGGTGATTGAATCGCGGCTAATGAGATGAAAGGAAGTTAGCCCTTCTCAGTGACAAAAGCTGGTCCTGTCCTGAGAACCAAACACAGACCTTCACATGCCTACGACCGCACAACACACGCCTACATAACCACCAGCATCCAGACCGCGCATACACAAGCCGTACGTGATCAGCGATGATGCGGAGGAACTTCTCGGAATCCTGCGCCGTGACGGCCTCGATGAGCGCCACTCGTCGTATGGCCGCCATCGCCGATCAGCCCAGCTACTGCAACACCTCAGGCACAATTGCACGTTGATGACAGGAGGTCTGCCGCCATCGCCAATCAGCACGGCTACCGCAACACCTGAGGCACAACTGCACACTGAGGACAGGAGATACAGCATGCTCATGTGTGCAAAGAACATGACAAACACCACTGTGACACTGATCACTGAAGTGTTCCTGGTTGCCAATATTGGGGTGGCCAGGCAGTGGAGCAGAACAAAGGTTGATAGCAATCAGTGATAGTGCTCCCTACCAATATAGGAATAAGTAACCACACAGGCACATGTCAAAGTGATATACATGATTTAAGGCTTTGAGCTGGTGAGCCAAGCATCACAAGACATCACACCCTTTATAAACATGGTTTACCACCATTAATAGTTTAATATAATTTCCAATAACATGATACCCAAGTTTGGGGGTTTGGGCAACAAAGCTGCCACCCACACATACACTTCAAAGATCTCAACATGAGGCAGCCCTTTGGCCAAGTTCAGCACTCATGTCACAAACCAGGGCAATAACCTATACACACACAGCTTGTCATTGATTTTGTACAAGTTTCTATGCTAAAAATTCTAAAATTATCATATATCTGGCCAGATCCATCCCAAAACAACCAAAGCATCCAATTTTCTTCTGATCATGGCAGGGATTTATACAATGGTGTTTAAACATAATAATTAGAGCTCTGGTAGGCCAAACCACAGGGTCCTTCCTTGTTCATTACAAAATCAACCAAAAAATTCCCAGCTCATATAGGCTCAGCATCATCATGTATGTACCTGCTAGCCCAAAAACATATGCACAATTCAGAATTTTGCCTCCATAAACAGCAGAGGACAGAAAATCTATGCTTAGCTCAGCAGAAAATGCTTGCTGTTACTAGAACCATCTGAATTTAAGCAAATGATGGTCAATGAAACACAGCAATGTTTGTACCTTGACTCTAGCATTAATATTTCCTTACACTTTTTATCACTAGAAAAGTAGAATATTGCCAGTCAAAGCAGCATGAAATTATTTTAGCATTATGAAAAACTCCTGGTACACATATTCACCATGAATCAAGAGTCTGCCATGGTGGACATATCTATGACCAGATTTTTAAACTCCATAATCAATATCACAATGATTGGCATGGATATCATGTGATGATGATGATTTGGGGTTTTAGGGCACATCAACTGCTAAAGGTCGTGCAGCGCCCATAACTATCGATTCATGCGGAGCCGTCAATCAGAGAAGTGCTGGCATGGATATCAATGACATGGATCAAGCAGATAAGACAAGGCTAGTGAGCAGCTGCTCTTCCCAACTTAAGGAAACATATCATGACACTGGCTTCATATAGAAACCAGACCTGAACAAAATAATGTCTCACTGAACAAGTCATGCATATCAGCAGGACATTGCAGAAACAATTCCAGTACATGCACATCATAATTTTGAGCATTGGCAAATGCACATTATAACTTTGAGCAATCAATTTGGCACACAGTTGCCACCAAGTTGTGCATACAGCCAATGTTTAAGGAATAGGTGACCTCAAGAAAGATGCTTCCAAACCATCTTTATGAGCAAACAAGTTGAAAATTGTCATAGTTTGGCCTGGCCTGAGTCTTGCACATAAGTGAGCCAGGCTCAAAAAGTGTCTGGTGTAATGTATAGATGTTCGTGGATTAGTGTCTGACCTGGAAATAAAAATGATGGCAAATCACAGGTCTGGCATCTATGAAAATTTCACTGACAGTAGCTGATTGCAAACATCTGAGCTCTTACAATGACATATTGTGTGTTGTTATTTAAGCTTTCCTTGGGAAAAAGATGACGGTTGAGTGGAAGATTTCTGAGGTTGGGTTGAATCCCCACAGCAACACCTCGAGCCCAACATAGCATTTCTAGGAAAAACGACCTGGTGCCCTCTCCTTTGAGGCCCTTGTCAAGAACCTGGTATGATTTTGAGGCAAATATGCATCCTTGCATTACATATTTCCACTCAGTCACCTCCATCCGTAAGACCTTACGGAGCTGCTTCACTCCCACCCACCCCCCTGAACCAGGAAAGCTTTAGGCTGGGGGTATGTGAGAAGTCCTACACACTCTGCTACAGACTTGTTAAAGTACCTCCCGACAGTAAACTTATTATATTGAACGCACCGTACCTAATCCACCGACTACGCGACAGGACCAATGATAGAAAACAACAACGCAGGCCCACGACCTTGGACACGAGGTTTCCAGCACTGCAACCAACGTCGATGTTTGAAATTTAGTAGTGATGCCAGCATTTTGTATTTTGGGCTCTCTTACTTCCAAACATGAACTGCGGTAGCCTTGAAAAGGCTTTTGTGACATCAAAGAATAATATTTTTTAGAAGCATGACAATTCCAGACAGAAACCGAATTCTTTAGTAAACGCAGTCTGGTTAGTGTTCTGGCCATTGATGTTACCTCCGCCACTATGTGTTGTCTGGCGCATTTATTCGAGCAGGCGTGCACGTTTCACTGGAGGCAAATCGGTGCTGCAGAGATGCTAGGAAGGAGAAGTTTTTACGCGCTACTAGAACCTAAATGCTGTGCACACGGGATTAGTACATAAAATAAATACATGTCGAGCGGTTAAGCTACATGGGTGGTATAACTGGGTCCTGCATGCATATTAGTAAAGCGGTTGCACCCATAATGTGGCCAGCGCGACGCTAGGCAGCGCACCACAGGGCTGGACTGGCGCTGCGGGTGCGGCTGCGTCTGCGTCTGCGTCTGCGTCTGCAGCTGGGACTGGGACTGGGGCTTGATGTAACATGGCCAGGGGCGGCGGATTTGAAGATGCGGGGGGCATTTACTCCCCGTCAAAACCGGGCAGTATTTAGCATGGCGGCAGGA